GGTTCATCGCGCCCTCCTTTTTGGTTGGTGCATCGCGCCCTCCTTTTCGGTTGGTGCATCACGCCCTCGTCTTGGGTTGGTGCATCATGCCCTTCTCTTGGGTTGATGCATCACGCCATCCCCTTGGGTTGATGCATCGCACCCTCACCTTGGGTTGGTGCATCACGCCCTCCTCTTGGGTTGATGCATCACGCCCTCCTCTTGCGTTGGTGCATCACGCCCTCGCCTTGTGTTGGTGAATCGCGCCTTCCTCTTGGGTTGGTGCATCACGCCTTCCTCTTGGGATGTTGCATCACGCCCCCCTTTGGGTTGGTGCATCACGCCCTCCTCTTGGGCTGTTGCATCACGCCCTCCTTTTCGGTTGGTGCATCACGCCCTCCTCTTGGGTTGGTTCATCGCGCCCTCCTTTTTGGTTGGTGCATCGCGCCCTCCTTTTCGGTTGGTGCATCACGCCCTCGTCTTGGGTTGGTGCATCATGCCCTCCTCTTGGGTTGGTGCATCATTCCTCCTCTTTGGTTGGTTAATCACGCCCTCGTCTTGGGTTGGTGCATCACGCCCTCCGCTTGGGCTGGTCTTCGCGCCCTCCTTTTTGGTTGGTGCATCACGCCTCCCTCCTTTTGGGTTGGTGCATCACGCCCTCCTCTTGGGTTGGTGCATTGTGCCCTCATTTTTGGTTGGTGCATCACGCCCTCCTCTTGGGTTGGTGCATCATGCCCTCCTTTTTGGTTGGTGCATCACGCCCTCCTCTTGGCCTGGTCATCACGCCCTCCTCTTGGGTTAGTGCATCCAACCCTCCCTTGGGGTTGGTGCATCCCGCCCTCGTCTTGGGTTGGTGCATCGCGCCCGTTTCTTGGACTGGTGTAGAGGCTCTGCCATTTACGCCACTGTGATACAATACTGTTCATAATTTCGATCTTCCACATAGTGGTATAGTTCTCTTATCAGTTGTTGTACAAGCGGCCAAGTTCCAAAAAATGGTGAAAAGCTGTAAGAAGTTTCGTTTTCTCAGCAGACGCACCAGCTTTTTAATTCCCAGCGGATCGAGATAACCGAGGGACAGATACCTATGTGTATAAATGTGTTGACAAGATAGGGCAGCAATAAAAGCTCAACTATGGGAATGTTCCAGATTGATGCCTGGGAACTTCTACATCACGAACAGACATACGGCAAGTTCTAAGCACGTGTCAAAGGTTTCATGTGTCAAAGGTTCCAGCCCGATAGGAACCGAACAAAGTTTTAGTTGCGGAGCATGGAGCTAGAAGACGTTTTATTATGTACTATACTCATTGCCGAGGGTGCTGGGCGGCCGAGCGGTCTAAACTGAGTTAATGCCAAGCCTTGTGTATGGGAGCTCAGTCTTCATTTTAACGGCTATACAGGCAAAACGCTCTCTCCGTGCACCAGTTAATCCAAGGTGGACACCATAAATGGATGGTACAGATTGGCACCGGCAGCGTCGCAGAAGTTGTCGGGAAATTTGTCATTGTATCAAAGCATCCTTCTCGGGGTTTTGATTCTATGATAAAAAAACAAAAAAAAAACAATGAGATATCAACAACAATATATTTATATATATATATATATTTGTTGATATCTCATTGTTTTTTTTATATGCATTTTTAATCCTGACTGTCTCAAAAATTGTTAAGAGCTCTACAATCTTGAAAGCCAATTTATATTAATATTTAATGTAGGCTAGGATCTATTTTATATTTTATGTGTTTTTAATTTAATGTTTTAGCTCGGACCAATAGTTCTGAAGGAATTTTAAAAAAAAATGAAATCTATTTCTAAATATCGAAATACCTGTCAACAAGCGATTTTCTGCTTTTTCAAACACGAAGTGGATATTCACAGTCGATAGGGAATAATAAGAGTGCATTCATAACAAATGTCTGATAAAATTTAAACAAATTATTGACTGAATAACGCCAAAAATTTCACTAAATTCTTTTTTTTTTTTTATAATTCCTGGCGGTAGTAAACCGTTTATCGAGTGAGAATAACGCCTCCGTTTTCCCCAAATAGACTAGATGGGAGCAAACTCCTACTTTCTTAAACAAATCGTAGTATTTTCAGAGTGTCGCATCTTTCCTAGCCAATGGCCAAGTAAGATTTGGAGCGAATCATATCTTTCCATTTATTTCTGTGTGTGTGTGTGTTGTAGTAGTGGTGATACATTTTAAACAATGGTAAAACTTGAGGCTAATTTAACGTTATCATATGTATTCAAAAGAAATAAAACTACATCTAGAAATGTAATAAATATATATATATATTTTTATTTATTTTTTTAAATTAATAATTTAATAATAAATTTCAACAGTAAAAATAAAGTTCTGGTACAAATAGTTGATGGCCAGATCTTATAAAATATAGTTACTGTAACTGTAACGTTTAAATAGTATTAAAAAAAGTGACGCTTTATTATCATTGAGTTTTTTGTTTTACTGTGTTGAAATAAGACCTAAAGTTTTTAAGACCTCATTTAACTATATTTTTCAAAACCCAAGTTAGATATAGTTTTCAATACCTCATTTAGATATAGTTATCAATACCTCATTTAGATAGTTTTCAAGACATCATTTCCTGTATTTTTAATATAAATCTAATACTGTAGGACTGTAGTGACCCTCCCCCTTCCCCCCCACCCCCCTATACCTCATTTAGATATAGTTATCAATACCTCATTTAGATAGTTTTCAAGACATCATTTCCTGTATTTTTAATATAAATCTAATACTGTAGGACTGTAGTGACCCCCCCCTCCCCCCCCCCCCCCCCCCCCCCCCCCCCCCCCCCCCGGGACACTTTACTACACATAGTGTTTGCACCATGACCGCTAGATTGGATATCCACATATTCTTTGACAGATATGCTTTCAAAAACAGAAGTATCCGTACTTTCATTGACAGACATATACATATATTCATTGTCAGACTATCCATACATTAATTGATAGAAATATCTTTACTTTCATCCACTGTCAAACGAAGAAAAGTTGAAGATTCAACTTCATTCATAATGTCCGTTTCAATGCCAGTTTTCATTACTTCTAACATTTTAAAAGCATATACTTTTTTTTTCCATTTGATTCTTAATTTCTTCGACTGAAAGTATAGACGCAATCACTGTACAGCCCAGTGTCGCACTACCATCAGAAAGCATGGATGCATCCATTCTAACGGCAAGCATCACATTATCAATGAGAACATGTATCGCCTCTCTATCTGATCTAAGCTCTAGATCTGATTGTCTTTACTCCTTTTCGGCTTACATTTCCAACAACATGCTCTTCAATCCTTATTAATCACATGTTAAATATATATATATATATTGTAGAGAAGTTAACCTTTAAAAATGAAATTTACCACTGATCAAGCGTAACTTCTTCACAAAGTACATCTCTTTCAATGAAAGTAGGGACATGCTTGGTGGGTTATTTCTCTAGTTTATTAATAGAATTACTACTAACGTATAACGTGGTACATTACGCCAAAAGTGGATGATACACACTATTCCCAAGTCTTCTTATTTCTCTTCAACAGATCATTTGTTTGAGGTTTGGCATGATATTTTCCATTAACACCAGACTACAACTGACGAAGGGCATCGGTGATCGCCCTGTATACTGTAGCTATCCAAAATAACTCCTTTTGACTTTTGTACGTGTGTCCTGGATAGTTTGGGACAGATATATCGACAATTGTCAATGAGTTACAAGCCTGATTTTAACAAATTGTCCATCTTTTTTTTCTTTTTTTTTTTTGTGGATAATGAAAATTAACTTGTAAGTGGCCATGTTACTGCAAAAACAGTTGAACAGTTGACGTCATAAAGACAACAATAATCTGCAGGACGTCCGATAAAACTGAATGAGTGTTCAACGCATTTAATCAATTTTGTGCAGTTTTTAACGTGTTCCTTTTTTTTTAATTGGGGGGGGGGGGTGGGGGGTGGTGCTTTTTTGAATGGCTAAGGCGTCATTTTTTAAAAAGTTCATCTTTAACACCCTGGTGAAATAATTAAACACTAGATCATGTCTGCTTTCTCCCGTGTGATATTTGAGTAAATATTTCCTTTAATAACAAGAGCCAACGTTTGAATTTTGTTGCCTCACTTGCCTCCTTTCGATTTTTGTTAGCGAGCTATTCAATACATAATTTTTTTTTAAACCCCCACATCATAACTGTGGGCACGTTAAATATCCAATCTCCCCAACCCCCCCCCCACCACCCCCACCCTTGGCAGTTCTAGGGTTTGCCAATCCTCGCGATGGTTCCGTTAATATCACAATTTGCCCATTATGTATGTATGTATGTATGCATGTATGTAATGGCATCTTTCCGTCTACGGGAGACTATAGTCGAGATTAATCATCTTCTTAGATTGCAGCTCTTGGTGTGGCTAGTATGCTACAGGCGACTGTATGCAACGTAAATTGATATGCGAGACATTTGTGTACATGATTTTCATTTGCGTATTATGTCTGTGTGTGTGTGTCTCTGTGTGTGTCTCTGTGTGTGTGTGTGTGTGTCGGTGTGCGTGTGTGTTTGTGTGTATTCCTCAACAATAAAGGACAAAACAATAAAGGAAAAAAACAAAACAATTTAGTTTCCGTTGTAAGATAGACAAGATAATATAAGATAAGATTATTTTAATAATCCAAACAAAAGGAAATGTTTTATGATTGCATTGTAGCCTATACAAATATTTGCTTTTTTTTATAAGAAATATTAATATAAATTAATATGTATTTATTGCTGTCTAATTTGAATTCTAAATAATCGGGGCTGATTTAAAAACATGAAGTTGTGGCTATAGAATATTCATTACAATTTACAGCACTGAAACTAACGCATCTTAAGCACGTATGTGCGTTTGTCAACGGTGCATTGCTCCAGCCACAGCGTGTTGCCAATGCCATTATGAAAAAAAAAAGATATGTTTGGCATTTGTTCTTGAGGATGGAAATATTCTATAGACTGAGAAATGGTGAAAATTTAATAAATTTATTTTGTAGGTTTTATTTTTTTTTTCTTTTCCCTAATATTTCTTTTTGAGAAAACTTACGTTCGGACAAATTTCTGTTTGACCGAAATTCCGCTTCCATCTAAAAATTTTCTTTCCAAAAAATTTATTTCATACAAATATCCGGTAACCCTTAATATTTATCAGTTAAGGTTATATTATCCTACAGTGTACATCCCCAATATATTCAAAGTACAGACGACACTATGTGGAGTGTATCCGCTTTAACTTTATTCATATTTAAATTTAGAAATGATTTTTGAATACTATTATGATTCAATTAGAATGAAAAGGAATGAATGTTTTTATGTTTGCCTTAAAGAAAATTTCGCAAATGCCATCCTGGAAAAATCATTTTTTTTTTTTAAACACCATGTTTCGGTTTTTCTATTTAGTCATTTATTTATTCTGGAATTTCACAGAGATAGCCAACAGCATAATTAGCATAGCCTTGCTGGCAAACCCAATCAACCATGAACCATCCATGGGGACGCCAAAAGAAGAGACAATTTTCGCTTCTCCCACCTCTCGAATCTGAAGGGCTCCATTTAATGTACTTGACCATGGTTTTACTGTTGGCGTGGATCCAATTATTTTCCAAGGCCTCGTCTGTGCCGCTGCACAGCACCCCCGTGTATTGAGTGTAAGGCGTCAGAAATGACTTGATGAACTCAAATTCTGCGTCATCGTCAACCTCCGCTAGATACCCACCATAGAGCGCACAAATTGCGTCTACTTCGTTGGCCACCAACACGTTGGATATAGATGACAGGTAATAGCGCCTGCCATTGTGGGCAGCGGATATCGAGAAATGGGCCTCTTTGGCTCTGTCGAAACGAGACTTTAAGCTCAAATATGATGCTGTCAGCCTCTCTTCATCCGTTTTTAACTGCTCAAAGTCCCGTGACTGATTCTGTATAACATCAAACAGAGAAGCGTCTAAATGTCTCACCCCACCGACTTCGACAATGTGAGACACAGTTCTCGCGGCCCCGCTTAAATTGATGCCGCTCGCCTCACATTTGTACAGCCCGACCCGGCTAAACAAGGGGTACGACCAAGTTAGGCTGAGCCAGGATTCTCCGCCTCGAGTGATGTTGCCTGCAACTGCTGCCGTCGTGTCGTAATCCAACCCGTCCACTGAGCTGACCGACGCCAGGTATCGGAACACGGGCTTCTCGGCGTCGCTGGCAAACGAGATGAGCAAGTAAGAGAGCCTGGAAATGGTTGGTACCTTGTCTCTGACATGGGAACATCTGATGTTTAGATTTCTGGAATTGCCAATCTGTAAAGCTCCCGGGTTTACTTGAACCTGGACTGCTGCATACAACAACAGATTAGTTTCCATACATAGAGTGAGATATAAACTTATGAGAAGCAAGGAACCGTGCACATGGGATATAGGGCATAGGGCATAGGGGGTATGGAGTGGTGTATCAGTGTGTTCTATTGCGTTACATGGGGTCGGGGTGTTAGAGAGCAATGTTATGTATAACTATTATTTCAATGTGCTTCTTTTTTTTTTTTTATCAATTTTTTATTTATTTTTTATTTTGCGACATTTCCACTTTTCAAATTTACGAAATTGACTTAGATCATTAAAGACTAAAATTTAATTTTTGCCTAAAATAATTAGCACATTAAAAAAAAAATTATTGAAATTTGCTTGTTTTGGTCCCCCCCCCCACACACACACACACTTTATTCGGTAATATATGTTATATATGTATTTTTAACTTACATTTTTTAGAGGATGGGGCTTTGCTAGAAATATGATATTAGGGGGGGGGGTCAATGGAGATATTAAACAGCGTTTTAAGGAGGAAGAGGTTTGTCAAGAAAAGCATATTTTTGTTCTATGTATTATGTTCAACGCCCCAAAGCATATTTTTGTTTTATTTATTATGTTCAACGCTTTGTTTTTGTCCCCCCCCCCACACACACAATCACTTTATTCTGTAATATATGTTATATATGTATTTTTAACTTACATTTTTTAGAGGATGGGGCTTTGCTAGAAATATGATATTTGGGGGGGGGGGTCAATGGAGATATTAAACAGCGTTTTAAGGAGGTAGAGGTTTGTCAAGAAAAGCATATTTTTGTTCTATGTATTATGTTCAACGCCCCAAAGCATATTTTTGTTTTATGTATTATGTTCAACGCCCCAAAGCATATTTTTGTTCTATGTATTATGTTCAACGCCCGTATTGTCTTTTATTACCAAATTGACACCATTTCTGATCAGAATAATTTTGCTGGCAGTAACCATCTGATCAAAATGTTTAAACCACTTTAACCAATAAAATAAACCAAGGGGCCATAATGCGAAAGGCCCGTTTTAAACATTTGAAAAAGATCAGTTAAATGTAGACGGGAATGCATATCCTATAGAGGAATTCTCTCCCTTGTAGTCCACTCGTTTCAATGTTTATCTTTATTAAAGCTATGTGCGGTGAACATTTACTTTAAAAACTTACCATCCAGTAGTCAGTAAATACTTCCTAGCACCCAGCACTTAAAACATAGTGTAGAATATACTTGTTAGCACACCTGCCTGTTTATTTAAAGTTTAATATTGAAAACAAGGAGGCAGTGAACATTTTAAAAATAAACTGCCATTCATTGGTCAGTAAATAGGTTTCCAGGATGATCAATATATTGATCGTGGGGCCCTCAAAATATAGAAGAAGAACAAATGCCTTCTAACGCCTAGTGTATAAAAACATAGTTTAGAAATACATTGTATGTGTTGGCATACCTGCGTCGGTGACTGCTAGCATCGCCAGGATGAGTGGAAGAACCGAGTTCATGGCTACAACTGCTCTTCTCGTCTAAGGAGCTGTACAGGCTTCTGTGTATCATATACATCTGTACTGGCCCACATTTATAGATGACATCAGTTTTTACATCCCTCATTTGGGGGGTCATAACTTGTGAACAATCTGACAGGACATTATCAAAATAAACAAAAGCTGAGCATTATAATCAAGGCCCTCAACTTCCGGGTATTTCCGAGACAGCTTATAAACAACAGCTGAGCCCTAAAACTGAAGAGAGCAACCTAAAAAAAAAATGCTTTTGCTATCTAACGGTTCTATATTTTTTCAGCTACATATAACTCAAAAGGCTCTCGTGTTGCGTAGTGTTGACAGTTGCCATCTGTGTTTCTGAGTAAAGTAAACACTGAATTAAATAGAAAAAAAAAATAATTGAAGCTTTAAAATAAACAATTAAGACAATTTTTGTGAGTTAAATTCATAATAAATATTTTAAAAATAATTTCTTACAATTTTTACGCTAAAATAAATCACAAAATTTAAATTTCCCTCACATGATCTTTGCTAACATTTAAAAATTGTAATTTTTTTTTTCAGCAATGTAAAAAGAAACACCAAAACTTAGAAGACATCTCAAGGCAGCTGGTATTGAATTTCACATAGTCATGGACTGGTAAGTATTTGATGGTTTGAAATTCATAGCTGAATGGGACTTCAGGTTGTTTCTTACGATCTGTGTGTATGTGGCTTCCAGTGGGCGGAGCTTTTCAAAACTAAGGCTTATTAAGAAATATTTACGATCCACCATGGTGGCAGTCAAGGCTTTCTGATCTGGCTCTACTATCAATTGAAGTTGATACGGTAGAGGATATTGGTTTTGATTAAATTGGTTGACAGGTGTGCATCTTTGGAGAAAAGTAAAATTTTAAATAAAGTAAATTTAATGTAAAAATAACCATAACTTAATTTGACTACAGTTCTAAAATAAATTGACCTCCTGACCTTTAATTAATGAGTTTTTTGTTCTTGTTATTGATATACTGTAAACTTATTTTAACAAGAAAAAATCCATCGTGGAAGTCGGGGGGGGGGGGGGGAGAATGACACCATGAGTTTACCGCACCTTGTGACACCACCCTTAGCTACCCCCCTGCGTCTAATTATAATATAATTTGTACATGTAACGGGCAGAGCAGTTGCATAGGTCCTGCTACTGTTTGCTACTGTCTTATACTGTCAGCTACCATCTGCCACTGTCTGCTACTCCTGTGGCTGCAGTCGGCCTCAGATATGTAAAGGGCCCAAAGTTGTTAACTTGTTACGTGGCAGGATGTATTCAAAAGTCACGTGACGGCTCATGTCCTAGTGTCAACTCTTGTCCCCCGTTCGCACTTGTCTGCATCCTTGCTTGTGTTGAAATTTGTGAAATGATTATTTCGTCGGCTGTACCAAATAGCTGGGCTTAAAAGTTGCTGCGTAATTGTTAACACGTTTTACGGCAGTGATTCCCAACCTTTCTTGCCCAACGCCCCACCTTAGCCCCCAACGGCCTTCAATGTCCCCCCCCCCACTCAACTTCTCGCTCTCCTCACATTGGTAGAACTAAGGAAAAATGTCTCCGTGATGCTGTTAAGAAAATTACATTTAATTTTTGTAGGCCTAAACCGAAAATTAACTTTTCTGTTTCGACCGAAACTACGTCGAAAGCAGTGTTTCTTTCAGAAATTCCCCCCCCACCCCCAGGGGGGCATTTCAGACTTTCGTGGGGGGGGGGGGGGCGCTATGCCAATTGCAGTGGCAAAAGGCG